ATAAATGTGAAAATAGGAGAGGACGACATCAGGGGATGTACACGTTCATCAACAATAAGAAAATGATTCATTAGTTTCCAGAATTGATATTGGTGTGCCATTTATCCGGAGATAAACGTCTAAGTGCCCTTTCCTCCGATATTAAAAGTCGTGGAAGCCAAAATAGAAGAGAACTAATTACATTTTTTTTTGTTCTTACTGCTGTGAAAAAAAAAACAGTAAAAGTAAACAGTATAGTTAACGACAGCAATATAATCCACAAAGAATTGATATGATCTATCAGTGACTTTCAGTAAGTTAAATCAGATTAAAAGACTCAGAGGTTTAATCCAAAAACACATTCGGCCGAAATTCACTGGAACATTTAAATGCAATAAAATCAACACACTCTATTCAACCCCGTAGTTTTATGCAATTGAATTTATTCGCATAACTTATAGAATATATGGTTTGTAGAGTTGGCAATCATCTGAACAGGTCATATTTGCATATTGACATCCCTACTTTTTTAACTTTGATTTGCGTACTTATCTGTTTATTGTATTTATCTATCTATTCATCTATAACTCGATCTTTCTTCGCTCTTATCTATAACGACTAATTCTGCAGCGTGGTGGGGAAAAAAAAGTATTATGAAATATATCAACTTTTCACCTCATCCCTCAGAATTTCTTTCCTAAGACAGCAGTGTGGAGGGAAAAGTATGATGAAATATATTATCTTTTTTTGTGTAATGCAACATGAAAATAAATGTTCATTAATAGGACAACTAGATGACATGACATACTATATCAGTTTATAAAGTTGATATATCCCTTTATCAAGTTATTATGTCCGTTAATAGAGTTAGTATATCCATCTATAAAGTGAATATATGAGTTTATAAAATTGATATATCCGTTTATTAAGTCATTATATCAGTTTACAAATCTGATATATCCGTACAAAATATCCATCCGCTAAAGTTTCCCAAAGATTTTCCTGTTAAATCCCGTTTCCTTGATCGTTATACTTCGTTATACTCACTTCCGGGGGGAGGGGGGGCATCGAAGACGGGAATACCCCCCACCCCCCTCCCCTCTCCTTCCCCCTATCCATTCTTGCCTTATTCATGCCCGTAATTCATATTATTAAGGTCATTCCCACTGTAGAGGTAATTAAAAGAAATACGTGGAAAGGTTGCGTATATTCTTCACTTTATTTGTGTGTTTCTTTGTTTGTTTAGGGATAATCTATCTTTTCATTTGTTCATTTAATTTGTTTGTTTATTTGTTCATTTAGTTTTGTTGGTTATTATTATTCACTCACTCACTGATTCATTCAATTACCTGTTATTTACATATCTATAAGTTTATTTATTTACTCATCCGTCTATTTATTCATATTATACTTTCTTACAATATTTCTTCCTTTTCCCACTTCCTGTCGTAAATAGTGAGTTACCACAACCACAATTTAAGATTTATTAACATTATTTATTGACATTAACAAAAACGTAAATGAGAGAACTATGCAGGGCAGATTTGTTAATACAGCATCGCCAAAGTCAACTATATTTAATTGTCATGCTGAGTGATTTGAGTATTGGAATATATGATTATTTTGATGAGGGTTTTTGTAATAGCGGTTTTCTTATTAGTATTAGTTATTTAGTTATGCTATGAGTAGAGTGAAATGAATATTGGAATATATAATTGTTTTCATATTTGTATCGGCACTTACGTCGTACTATGAGTATTGGAAAAATACAATAAATTTCAATAGTATGTTTTAGTGATAGCATTTTCATATTAGTATCAGTCATTTGAAGTTTAATCTTTGCACAAAACAACAATCTGGCTGCCTCTTTTCCCTCCCCCTTCTCTCGCCTCGTCTGAGCTCTGGGCCGGGCTGGGCCTATTATTAAATGTAATTATGATGTTTTAATCACGATCCCCATAACCTGTTTAATAATGACAATGACAACAACAACGCGGAAATAGCCAACAGGTATTTAATCTAAATTTTACTCTCTTTGGAAGGCAATTTTGTGCTCTCATATGATGTTCAGTAATCTTAATTGTCATGTTTTATGCATATGAATATGCGGTGTGTTTGGAATATTCATACATATTGAAACATGATTAACATATCTTACTCGCGTACTCCTCGTAAATTAACTACGTGCTTATAATTACCTATTATAGTTGATCACTGTATTGTTATCATACGTGTAGAACAGCGCAGTGTTGCCAGATCTGACCTACGGACGATAATTCACACACTCGTCAAGAGCTAATTCTTAAACTCGATGGTACGCTCTCGTCTTAACTTCGTAAACTCTTTGATGATCTTCGATTGACTCAGCAATTCTTCCTTCAATAAAAAAAAGGAAAGAGAAAAAAAATATATAAAAAAATATGTCGACGTCAACACGTTTTCTTATCAAATAATCTTTGTGATTTATGCTTTCGTAGTCAAGGCGAGTTCATTTGTCTTTATTATATCAAGAATCTTAGGG